CTCCTCCTCCTCCTCCTCCTCCCCCGCCCGCTCCTCCTCCTCCTCCTCCTCCTCCTCCTCCTCCTCCCCTTCCCCCTCCCCCTCCCTCCTCCTCCTCCTCCTCCTCCTCCTCCTCCTCCTCCTCCTCCTCCTCCTCCTCCCCCTCGTCCGCCTCCTCGTCTTCCCTGCCCTTCAAGAGGCCGTGCGCCCTGGTGGTGGTGCTGCTGCTCGCGCGCTGCGCCGGCGGGGCGCAGCAGGTCGCCTCGGAGGCCCCGCCGCCGCGCAAGCCGCGCCCTCCAGGGGGGAGCAAGGCCCCCACATGAGGCGTTCCAGAAAGGGCGTTGGTGCGTACACGCTGGTCGTTGAAAATAGGTATTTCTGGATTCGAGGTCCCAATCTATTTTAGCTCCCTTCTTATTTCAAGAGTCGAGCCGTCTTCCCTCTTCCCTTCCTCAGGGGGCGGGCGGAAACCAAATCTACTTCAACGCCTTCCTACTTCATGCTTCTATCCACTTCTTCCGACTGGCGGGTACCTCTTCCTCGGCAGAAGTCTGGCAAAAGGCCGTTGGAAGGCTGGCGGAAGGCGGCGGAAGCAAACCGAGGCCGCCTCCGCCGGCGGAAGCTGGCGGAAAGCTGGCGGAAACCGGCGGAAGCAAACATTGGCCTCTTAAGAGATGGCAGGGTTTTTGGTTTAGTTTTTTTCCGACCCGCCACATGGGGTCCCAGCAGGGGGGATCGGAGGATCGGGCCCGCCGATGCATCGACGATGCGGCTCAATGTGGAGCCCGATTTTCTCCACGCCGACGTCTTCGATGCATCGCTGATGAATCGGTGATGCGTCGACGATGTATCGCGATCCTGCGACCCCATCTCCGCGGACCTCATGTGAGAGTCCTCTTGAGCAGGAGCCGCGTGACCGCGCCCTCTTCCCAGACATGCTCGCGTCATGGAAACAGCCCGACGGGAGGTTCTTGCCAATTGTCGGCCTCTGGGGGCCCTCGCCGGGCCCCATGACTGCAAAAACAACGACTCGGGGTGAAAAACTTGCCCCAGGGGCAGGATCGGGACTTCTGGGGACCACGTATTGGACACAAATCGGGACGTCGCGTCAGGCTCCGGGGGAGGGGGTTACGAACGGTGGGCTCGTGTCGTGCCGACGCGGCGGCGACCCCGCCGCGAGCGTTCAGGGTTTCAGCGCCGCTAGTGGCCCAGAGTCGGCCAGCCTGGAACGATCTGGCGTTTTGGAAACAGACGTGCGATCGTTCAAGGTTGAATAACCTCCACGGTGTCAGGAACCAGCTCCGGGGTCGTCACGACACGAACTGGCCCTAGCTGGGGTGGCACGACACGAATCGTTTGGGCATCGCTCTTCTAATTGTTAATGCTCTCTCCCCGCTCGCTCCCTGTGCTTGCCGCCGTGGCCACCGACGCTGCCCGCAGCTCTGAAGGATTGGCTCGAGGACCGAGCCGAGGATTGCGCGCCGTTTGCGCGCGTGGGAAAGGTAGGTTGGGGGTTGTCGCTTCGTCGTCGTCCTCTCCTCCTTTGCTGTCCCACCTAGTTCCTATTTGTACGAAGTATAGCTGCATGGATCCATCACGAGCAATGATACCCATATTACACAATTACCATTAAACCCCCTCTCACCCGGAGTCGTTATTCTCTGGCGACTGACTGGTTACCAACCGAAATGGATCAGATGCGTTGATGACACCAGTTAATCATGGCAGCGCAATTGTTCATGCAGAAAATACCCGCGCTCGGACTACAGTGCCTGTAGCGGATGAACCGATCAATGTCCCTCTTGGGGTACCAGTTTTCTCGCTACTCGACGACCCATGTGTTCCTACGGTGGACGGTGGATCGGCGTTGGTTCAGCCGGCGGAAAAAAGGAAACGCTGTGGCACGCGAGTTCTCTGCTATTCTGGAAGATGAAAGTACCAACTCTGACATTTCGAGGAGAGGGGATTGTGGAGTATGCGGTCTGCCAACCGAAACGTGAGGGAGGAAGGAGGAGGAGGAGGAAGAGGAGGACGGATCTTTGTATGATGGATGACGTTTGCAATTTGATTCCTTTTTGTGAGGCGATTTACAATTAAATTCCTTTTGTGGCAGGTTTGCAATTGAATTCCTTTTGTGGCGATTACACTTAGAATTCTCCTTGTGGGGGTTCTGGAGATTTCATTTTTTTTGTTGTTGTTTTTTTTTTGAGTGTTTTCAAAGAGATTCTATTTGTACGTGTATTACAATTAAATTCCCTTTGTGGCGAGTTTACACAAGGATTCCTTTTGTGTGGCGATTTACAATCAAATTCATTTTGTGGGGGGTTACAAAAGGCATTCCCTTTGTGCGATAATTTTAAATTGAACTCCTTTTGTGGCGGGTTTACAAAAAGGATTCCCTTTGTGGGGAGTTCACAATTGAATTTCTTTTGTGGCGATAACAAGTGGAATTCCCCGTGTAACGGTTCTGGAGATTTCAGTGTTTTCAGTTTTTTCAGTTTTTTTAGTTTTTTCAGTTTCGTCAGTTTTTTATTTTATTTTTTGATTGGTTTCACATAGATTCTATTTGTACGCGAATTACAACTAAATTCATTTTGTGGCGTGTTTACACAAGGATTCCCTTTGTGAGGCGATTTACAATTAATTTCCTTTTGTGGCGGGTTTACAATGAAATTCCTTTTGTGGCGGGTTTACAATTGAATTCCTTTTGTGTTTGGTTTACAATTGAATTCCTTTCTTTGCGCATTTACAATTAAATTCCTTTTGTGGCGGATTTACAATTGAAATCCTTTTGATGTCGGTTTACAGTTAAAAACTTTTATTGGTGCGCCACAAAAGGAATTCTATTGAGAGCTGAGAAAAACTGAAAAAAACTGAACAAATTGAAAAATCGGAGAAAATTGAAAAACTGAAAAAACGCAAAAAACTGAAACCCTCCAATAATTTATTTTGGATTCGCATTGCAATCAAATCCTTTTTGTGGCGGGTTTACAAAAGGATTCCCTTTGTGAGGGAATTTACAATTAAATTCCTTGTCTGGCAGGTTTACACTGAGTTTTCTATTGTGGAGGGTTTACAAATGAATTCCTTTTGTTTTGAGTTTACACTAGGATTCCTTTTGAGACGGATTTGCACTTAGATTCCTTTTGTGGCGGCTTTGTTCTTTAATTTTTATTTGGTCTACAATTGAATTCCTTTTGTTGGTCCGCCACCCGCTGACGCCGCTGGAGGCGAACAAGAGCAGCTGCCCCCGAACGCCCCCCTCGCTGCTCTGCCCCAGCGCAGCCTAGAGCCAGCTGCGCTCGCGGCGCCGGACCCAACCCAGGTGGGTATTATGCTGCAAATGGTTATCGTTTACCCCCCCCCCCTCCCCCCTCAAGACCCTTCAAAATGCGCAAAGTCGCATTCGGGGTGTTTTTTTCTCCTGATGGTTTGAGAAAGCGTTTTGCTGTGTGTTTAGTTTGGCTTGATAGATTCTGTCGTTGTCGTTGGCTCATTTGCGTGGCGGGGGCCATTATTTTTCTCTGGGTAGCCCCCCCTCCCCGTCAGGTGCTGGGCCAGGGTGCGTTCCCCGTGTGCACTCTCTGCGCGGTGTACACGGCGTTCGCGCAGGTCGTGGGCGCGAAGTTCGGTTTCGGCATAGAGGGCGGGACTGTGAAGGCCCAGATCGTGCGGCTTCACGGGGGGCCCAGCGGGGCCGAGTGGCCTGATGCCCTCGTCGCGCGCATGCCGTGCGTGCGCGTGGAACTGCCGGACTTGTGGCTGCACTTCCGCGTCAAGGTGCGCGTCGCCTACAAGTTTGCGAAGGCGCTGCAGGGGGTGCGCGAGCAGGGCGGCTGGCACCTCACGGTGATCGTCGCCAGGATGGAGGGGGGCGCCCACGACCTGCACAGCATGGTGGCCAAGCGCGCCACAAAGTGCGGCCGGGTGCAGTGTCTCAATTCCTGGGGCACCAGCGAACACTCTTCCGCGGCGCGGCCCTTTCCACATATAGGAGAGAAGCAGTTTGTTAGGGTTTATTTCTTAGATCCTGAGGTGACGCAGGCTTCCCAGGCTAGCGGCTCCAGAATCGTTAGCGTTGCTTTTCCACGCCCCTCGCAGTTTTGGAATGATTCTCCCCGCCGGGAGTGGGCCGTCATCGCTTCGACTTGCGGCAGTTGAAAAACTTACTTGTGTTCTGCCTTCGCTGTCTCTTCTCCTCTCTCTCCTCCCACACTCCCCCCTCGCTCTCCTTTCTTGCGTGTAGAGGAGGGAGGAGGGCGAGGGCGGGAGGGAGGAGGGCGAGGGCGTCGACGAGGAGGAGGGCGAGCGGTAGCGACGACGTGGCCGTGGCGATATTGCACGGGAGAGCACGTGCGACGGCCCCTGGCCGTGTTTGATGGGGAAAAGCACAGCCCGCGACCAGCCCGCGAACCGAAGCGCATCCTGAGTGGAAAAAATCAAGAAAAGAAAGTGCCGATTCGGATCCGATTTTGTTTCTGGTGTTTGGGCCCCGGCAGTGTCATTATTGCACGGGAGAGCATGCGCGGCGGTCCCTGGCCGTGTTTGATTGGGAAAAGCACAGCCCGCGACCAGCCCGCGAACCGAAACGCATCCTGAGTGGAAAAAATTAAGAAAAAAAGTGCCGACTCGGATCCGATTTTGTTTCTGGTGTTTGGGCCCCGGCAGTGTCATTATTGCACGGGAGAGCATGTGCGGCGGTCCCTGGCTGTGTTTGATTGGGAAAAGCACAGCCCGCGACCAGCCCGCGAACCGAAACGCATCCTGAGTGGAACAAAAATCAAGAAAAGAAAGTGCCGATTCGGATCCGATTTTGTTTCTGGTGTTTGGGCCCCGGCAGTGTCATTATTGCACGGGAGAGCATGCGCGGCGGTCCCTGGCCGTGTTTGATTGGGAAAAGCACAGCCCGCGACCAGCCCGCGAACCGAAACGCATCCTGAGTGGAAAAAATGAAGAAAAAAGTGCCGAGTTGGATCCGATTTTGTTTGTGGTGTTGCCATTCGCTGTTGCCGCTTGCTGTTGCCACTTGCTGTTGCCATTTGTTGTTGCCACTTTCTGTTGCCACTGTATGTTGTCACCTCATGTTCCCACTTGATGTTGCCAATTGGTGTTGCCACCTGCTGTTGCCACTTGGTGTTTCCGCTCGCTGTTGCCATTTGCTCTTGCCATTTGCTGTTGCCATTTGCTGTTGCCCATGGCTGTTGCCACCTGATGTTGCCATTTGCTGTTGCCACTTGCTGTTGCCACTCGCTGCTGCCACCTGATGGTG